AGGTTAGCCACGACCTAAAAGGGATGAGGAGTTAATTCGCTATGTTACAGGCAGGTTAGGAAGTCTGCTGAATATAAAAGAAATGAAGTACCGTGTGACAGAGGCGGGCGGGTCGGAGACCCTAGGTATAGCTTTCGGCTAACATGTCTACCCATGCAGGGTCAGCTGCAGGGCGGTTTGAACAGCTGTCAGGTCTACCTGTGAAGTTCTATGGATGTACCATCACAGATCCTCCAGTGGGGATAGCAGGTAGCTAGCAGCGCTCCCACCTCTAAAGATCTTCTAATATAAATTATTTGATACAGTGGCCTGATGATATGTCAACCAATATAATTCCATTGTTTCCCTCCTCCTTTGCCTCCTCACATGCTTGAAATTTGAATGCCTCATGTCCTTGAAGAAATTTGTAATGCACTATAGTGCTGTATTACCTTGAGGGATACCTTTTTGGTGATTTGAGGATTTTGTCACTTGAAAATACCTGGATTTTTTTTCTTGTTTGTGATTCATTCTGAACATGGGAATAAGTATTGGCAATGAATAAAGGGAATAAGTATTGGCAGTGAATATATATGTTATAAAATATATAACAGGAATGAAACGGCATCAACTTTTAAGAAAACTTCAATCACCTCTTCAAATAGCCTCAATAGGAAATACTGGATATGGCTTGTGTGCTTTTTTAGCAGTCTGCGACAAATTGAATTGGATATAAGTTCATCTCTGTGAGCATGCACAGTTAAAAAAGAAATAATAATCATTCCCTAGATAATGTACAATAGGATGGAATGATTTAAGAATGTAACGTAGGCGAGATCGGAAATGTAAATAGTACCTTATTCTGAATGACCCAAATATAATTAAAATATACGCAATAAAAAGAAGGGAAGAAAAGGGCTTGTTATCTTTCTGGCCAGGAGTCTCCTAAGTAGACATGCTTGGCTTATTTAGACAGCATTCATAGGTCATGCTGGTTTTCTTTCAAAAAAATAGGCTATACTGTATGCCATCATCTCAATAAACACACCTAAAATAAATCATTTGTTGTCAAAAGCCTGTGGAAATAATTGGGATTTAACAGTAATTCCACAGGAGTTTGCACTGCGGGAGCATCAGGCAATTGGCGTTAAATATAGGCAAGTTTCTTTCTTTGTTTGGCTATTCACTGAATGCCCTTTAAAAGTGGTACTAAGTCACAGACAAGAGCAGACACTCCAGGTTGAATAACTACACCACCTTCCCTTTGTGGACAGAAATAATTAGACATATGTTGTTGGTAAGTTATGTACTCAGAAGAAAGGGCATGCAGTGCCACCTCTCACTGGTGATGCTTCTTGACTTCTTTCTTCTGAAGTTATCTTCTGCCAGTATCTTCAGCTCTTTCATTTCTCTGTAATATCTTCCTGCTCCTCAATCCTGCTATTTTATCAAATAGAAACATCTCATAAAGCCAAAATACTGCTATGCAAACCTAGGCAGACAGACCATTAACATTTTTAATGGTTCTAGTTTACTGCAATATCCTAAGGATATTAGGATAAAGGAAGGAAACCTAACTCCATTATAGGAAGCAGGGAGGGGAGATTATCCTTAGAAGTATAGGTTTTGGACAGCTGTCACAAATAATGGTTTATCCAGTGTCAGAATGCTGTCTATAAACAGAAGCTCCTTTTTTGATATTGATACAAAGATAACCCAGAATTGGATTGATTTTTATTTTTGGGATTAATGTTATGAGAACTAGGCCTTGATGTAGTTTCCACCAAAACAATGACAGAATTCCCATTGACTTCACAGTAAAAACAATCTGACCACAGATCCTCCAGTGCATAGTTTTACTGTTTTGGGAATATGTTTCTTATTGGAAAGTGTTTGCTTTTGTTAATAATATTTATGGAGACAAAGGGAGGAGGAAAGTACTTAGTAATTGGCAGAAGTTGATAGTTTTCATAATGGAATAGAAGATTCTCAAATTTAATCAAAAGGAAGAATAGCAGCAAAAATATTTGAGAGATACAGGCCAGATAAATAGCTCTTGTAATTGAGTGCAAATGTAGCAAATCAATGGAGCTATTCCAGTTAGCTGGGAGTCTGGTGCATACAATCCAAAAGCGTCTAGTGGTGTACCTTTTCTCCTTGCCAGTCCCTGTGACTAAGTTATAAGAGTGAACAACTGTAGCAGCTTGTAGTAAAGAGCATGAATGAGCAACCATATACAAGTAAGCGAAGAAGAAAGCAGTAACAGTGGTGCAAAAAACAGATAAATCAAATCCTATCTCCATTCAGATGTGATTATATGTCTATAAATCAGTATGAATTGCCTGTAATAGCTGTGGTGACAGACAAAAGCTAATAACATTTCTCCTGACAAAAGCATCTCTTTGGACTCTCACTCATTCTACTCTATTGATGATGGATTTTAATTCACGGAAAGGACTTGGTATGATCCCTTCAAATGTGGATGCATTTCACTAAATGAAATGTATTAATGGCAGTCAGATAAGTGAATATCTGATCACTGCTTATGATATTTTGTCGTCTTTGCAGCATTTCTTAGTGAAATAGGAATTCAAAGCAAATAGACTGTATCCATATTCGATACCCTCATTTAGAATCTTCTAAAACTTAGGAGGCTTAGACGGCTTCACAGCTTTGCTAAATTTGTAGTTTTCTGTACTTCATATACCTGGAAATCAAATTTCTTCCAGGGTAATATTTCCAGTTTAATAGGAGAAATTCCAGCATTCCATGAGCTGTGAAGCTATGGCAGAGAACGGAAGAGCAAGCACCTCTGCAAAGTCTCCTGCTGCTTGGCTTTTCATGTTATTGTTGGCACTGTAGCAGCGCTGCGCTACGCGGGGGACATGTACGTCTAAATCCCATCATAGTGTATTCTCTCTCAGGAGTATCCTGACCTAAGCAGAGGAAGCAATTTCCCTGGCAGTCTGAAATATCCCCAGTGACACAGTTTGATTATGCCTCTGGTTTACATTTGCATTCCAGAACGAGGAATGTTTCTTCTAAAGGACTCATGGGTGGTTTGTAGAAGCCAAAGCTATTTCAGTCTCTCTGTTCCTCTTCCTTCTTAGCAGATACTGGGGCTGCAGTAAGCAGGGACTGCTATTTCAAAGTCAGTTTGTATTAGACATTAAAAAAAAAAAAAGAAGAAGAAAGAAGGAAGGGGAACAGGAAGAAAATAAGTAAGATTTGGGAACATCCCAGCTGTTGAACCAGAGCTGGTATAAAGCCGTATAGCTCCGCTCCACACAGTAAAATTGGGAATGTTATGCTGATTTACACTAGCTGAGAATTTGGCATACAACTCATTTGTGAAAGAAAATGTAAGATGAAATTAAAAAACACTAGACTAGGTCTTCACTGTATCAGTTTGATGCTTAATGCTACTCCAGTGGAGCAGAAAATCATGCTTCCACTTTAGCAATTTATGGCTTTTTCAAGGAAAAAAATAGAGAAAAGATGCAGCCAAACCCAAACAGATCAGCTGAATTGCAAGGCTTCAGTCTGTTTTAGTGATATGTTTCTGGAAGACAATTTTCTGTTTTATTGGGCATGAAAAATTCATCATACGTTTGATCATTTGTATCCTGTTTTGTCTTCCCTTCATTTTTTGGTACCATATTATTTAATTTAAGTATCATTTCTAAAAGGTAACAGAATGAGCTGAGGGCCTCCCACCTATATATCAAGTTCTTTCATCAGGCTTTTTAAAGGACTATTTGATAGTTTGCTAAAAGTCTTTACATTTACCTGCTAACTATTGTCAGGGCCTTCAGCAGTCATGGATACAGATGACTGGAATATTTTGTGTATATATGCATAAATACACATATATGTATATGTGTGTTTGTGCATGTTTTATATACACATACTTGTATATACGCATACATATATCTATATTTGTATGTATGTATGAGAAATACTTACTTTGGCATTGGATAAGAGTGAAACCAGTAGACTTTTTACAGAAGATACTCTAAACCTAAACAGAGAATGATTTCATTCCTAGAAGAGAGGTGATGGCTAGTTGACAGTTTTGTTTAAACATTTAAGATTTAGTGAAAGAGCTCTAATTCCCTCTAGTAGCTTCTGTAGAGTCATTCCAAAACTATCAAAAGATTATTTTATTCTCTAAAGTCGATAGGAATTTTCTACAGGGGGCTAAGCGAGAACACATGTTGATTCTCCCAGCTGCTTCAAAAACAAACTAAGATGACTAGAATGGAATTGCCATTCCTTGCGGCTTGTCTGGCTTTTCTGGCCTGAATTCCAGGTAATTTGAAGTGAGCCAAGGTTTTATTTAGACTAGTTATTAGGGCTTTCTTTCCTAATGTATCAGAAAACCTGTTAGTTTTTTTCCTAATCTGTTTTAGACTCTTGCATTATTGCCACTTATTATTGCATTGTAGTTGTTATTGCCACACTATCTGAGGGCTTCATCGTCTTTAATGTGAGGTAATGAGTTAGAGAAATGGTATTATCTCCTGCTTTCCAAGTGAGGAACCAAAGTAAAGAGAAGCAAAAGGCTTTTAAAAAATTAGTCCAGATGATTTGATCAAGACCATGCAGGATGCTGGGCAATCTTGAATGCAGGGCATTGAGATGGACTCCTAAGATTTCTAACTGCAGTGCAGTAGCAAAGTCAGATGATACGGTGTCTCCTATATGCTATGGGGAATCCTGAAATCGGTGTCAGTAGATTGCTGCCTGGAATGGAAGAGACCTAAGCATGTGTGCAAGTGTCTGACAACATCTGGTGACTGACTCTGTTGTGAAAACAAAATCCAGCATGCAGCAGTCAAATGTTCTACTTCTCGCATGTTAGGCAGATGAAACAGGATGTTCTTTAAACTGTTTTTTTTTTTAATCAGAATTAAGCTAATAACTTATTTAAATTTGGAAAACAGTAGGGAGGAGGAGGGGACACATGGGGGAAACAAGTCCTGGTCTTGTACTCATGGTTTCCTCTCTTTCTTTTTCAGTGAGTATGTTTTTGAACACATTAACCCCCAAGTTCTATGTTGCCCTGACAGGCACTTCCTCTTTAATCTCGGGACTTATTTTGGTAAGTACTAGATATATTAATATTACTTTACACATTGCTTCTGTTACCCAGAATGCGATTTTAGGCTTTGTGCAGATCAATGATGCCTTTAGTTTTTTTTCTAAGTTTATGTTTCTGCAGCACATAAAATTTGCACTTCTTTTCTCTTTAAAAAAAGAAGTCTCCATGCTGTGTGTCTTTGAAGAAAATAATCCTGAACAACAATGTGCCCCACCAACAAGCGGGCCAATAATAATTCAGAACAAGTGTTTGCGTGTTAAGTGGTTCCATCAACAAGTACTACAAAAATAAAAAGACCAGGAAAAAGAAGAGTGAGAGAGAGAGAGACTAGCTCAGGTTAGCATGCTCTTTTGAGAATATTACAGCAGGACTCATTGGAGAAGCAGCAAGTGGAATATTAGCAGTGAGGCAGTTTTAGTGCAGGTTTCCAAGGGATAATTATTTCAGATGTTCAGTTTTTAAATCTTTCTCAGTATATGTCTATCCATTTGTTTGTAGGCCTAAAGAATGTTTGTAAACCTCTTAAAGAAAAAAAAAAAACACTCTCTCCTTATATAATCCTTGAGGGCTTCATTTTGCAAACTGATGCCATGGAGTGAGTCATAATACCATCACAGTGCAGGAGTCCAAAGCCCAGCATTTGTTCTGGATTTTATTCAATGTCTTCACAGAAACAAACTTAAGTAAAAAAATCTAATAATCTTCAAGATATACGTATGGTATTAGGGTTATAGTGGGTTGTTCTGTACCCTGGATGCTGAGAGTTGGTTTTCTACTTATACAAATCAAGGTTGTCTTCATTTTATTCTAGTTTGTTCAATCAGTGTTAGGTGCTTTTGTTTAAAAATAAGCTGTATGCTTCTAAAGTTTGCTGGATGAAAGCTGCAGGCCTTTTCCTCACCACACCAAACTAGGCACGTAATTGGGAGAGCAATTTTGGGAGTGTAATTACCTCAGTGGTATGTAGAAAGGGAGAGAGACCTTTAGGGGCTGCTAGATCTGCTGACCGCAGAGGAACCCTAAAGCAACTAGGTTCCTAACTGGCCCTATCAGTTGGGGAGGGGGGGAGGGCAGGTCAGGGCCTCTCTCGTCCACATGGCCTACTGCAGATGTAGACAGAGAAATGCCATCCTCAACTCCTGAATGCTTGGAAGACTCGCACCATTTAGAGGATGTCAGGTATAAAGCATCAGGTGTGCTACTGCTCTGCCTTGCTCTGGGGTTTACTCGCAGCAGAAGGCAATTACTTAATGTTTGCACCTTGGGCATTCATCAGACTTGTATGGATTGAGCCCCAAAGCACAGGACAGAGCTCCAGAGAAATCAGCACTTCTTTTAAACTATGAACGCTGAGGTTCAGGAGCCAAACCTGTGGGACTTGGATTCAGTTCAGTACAACTCAAATGCGTGGGAGGAAAATGCTGCGTGTTAAATTCAGTAATCTCACTCAGTAAGAAACGTTCAAAGGCCAAGCCCCCACCAACATGGTGAGAAGAAATGAGAGAAATATACGGGTTCCACAGCCACAGTTCCCTATTTGTTATCGGAGAATGAAGACAGCTGGAGAAAGTGGCAAGAGAAAGACAGGTCTGTGCCCTATGGAAACACCTTACAGAATCAAATAGAAACAAGAAATCTAAAGAGAGACTAAATTCTCTGTAACTGTGTAGTAAGCCTGCAAAGGTAGTTACATTTTGTACTGTAGTCTATAAGGCAATTTCTGAGGAATGAGCTCAGGAGGAGAGTTGTGAGAAAAAAATTCTAAACGTTGTATTTCAATGGGAAGTACAAGAAGGTGGGAAGGGGTATTCAAGACCATGATATGAAGAAGGAAAGAAAGGGCAGATACAGAAAAAGCAGAAGGACTCAAGATTATTAGTCAGGTAATGTTAGAAGAAAGGCAGCAGCCCATGGTGATAAGAGAAGCGCCAATCAATCCATGACTCACTAAGACACTGGAACAAAGCACAACAGGGCAAAATACCTGGGAATTACATGCTTTTAGTAATAAATCCACCTGCAGAAGCCTTCCAAGAAGAGATTAGGCTGAGTAAGCCTTAATTGAAGATATTCACTGAATGCTACATGAAGAAGTCCATTATGAACAAGTTAAAGGAACAGAGTTGACAGAGGAGTAGGAAGCGTCAGTGTAATTGGGAAGATTTGAAAGAAGATTAAAAGCTTTTTTTGTGTACCTTCACAGCTGCTATCAGTTGTTGTCTGCTGCTCATATGCCACAATGCTAAATGTTCAAAAGATAAATAGGCCAGACAGATAACACCCAGGAACCCTAGAATGTAGGGACCAATGTCTGTGCTGAGAGGAACGTATGGTCTGTACACTGGGTAGTAGAAAAGGAACTCAGCAGAGATGGTCATGGAAAGAGAAATCCACAACTTGAACAGACTGTGCATCAGGAAAGACAGCTGGGTAAGTTACAGTGAGGTAGTGCTAGCCAGTCACTAGCCCAGTTATTCTTCAGATTTATTATTTCTGAATAATCTTGCTGTTTACCAATGGCTGAGTTGTTTACATTACCACCCTCTTATCTGACACTTTACACAGCATCTGCAGTTCTAAAGGTTGCTTAGTTCTGCTAATGGTCTTTAATGAAACTCTTTTATAACATAAACATTCTCTTCTCAAATCTACATCACTAGAGCATCTGTCAGACTAGATGTACTAATATTCCTTGGAATTTTCCACCATATGGTCTGGCAGATCTCCTTCCATATCAGTTGGCTGCAATTCCTAATCAGAAGGAGAAATCACAGCCCTGCAGGTTATGAAATGATGGAAAATTCCATCATTTCAGAAGTGCAGTGACTGATGGGAAAGTGAATGTTTTTCCTATTTCATGTTTAGGTCATGAAACAATGACTCTGCAAAGTTCAGCTTTGGGGAACTGCATGCTACATGACTCCTTTAAAAAAAACACTATGGTCTTATTTTATCTCTTATTTTGCTTTCATTCTTTAGGTAACATTCTGGCCTCACTGTAGGAAATGCCACTTTAATGAAGCAAAGATTTCAGACCTCTTTTCTTTCCTCGATTGCTCAAAACAGTACAGAAAAGTCTTTATCTCAGCCGTTCTCCTTCATGGTTACTTGACTAAAGCACATAGCTTAAAATGAAAAACTCAGCACAGATTTAATTCCTCCCTGCGCTATTTTAAGCATTAAAAATTGGAACCAAATTAAGTCCCAGTCTGCATTACAAATATTGCACTGGAAATTGGTTCTACCACAGTTACTTTTAATTCAGTAAAAGACAGGGTTCTGACTCACAGAATACAACGGACCTGTATTGCATTTGGTGTCGAAGAAAGCCTGAGTTTTTCCACAGGTAGGGTAATGTAGCTTTGTCATGAAACACAGCTGAGGTCAAGTAAATGCTGTGAGCTGGAACTATTTTTGTAAACGTCACTGAGATTTCTCAGTAAGACTGCATGTCTAAAATAGTTATCACCAGAGTGAATATTGGTTAGCAAATACAGGTGGCATTTGCATTGCAAACTGGCTGATTCTCAGTTCTAACAAATCACAGGCAGAAGTGAAGCTCAGTCTTGAATCTCCACCAAGAATGTCTTGTTATTCTACTTCAGAGCTCAGGACAAATAGTAAGAGTTTTCTGCTGCATGATGAGAGACAATCTGCAATAAAAAAATACCTGGCCTTTCAGAGAGGACAATTAAGACTGGCAGTCAACAAAGAGGTAAAGCATGGGTGCATTAGACTGGCTAGTCTTGAGCAGCTGGGCTGTCTGCTACTGCCAGAGTATGTATATAATACATGAGAGTCTCAGCATTTTGTAACTGACGGTGCCAGTATAGGAAGTCTTAGAGAGGGTCCGAATAACATGGAAGAGACTTTCTGATGATATTGGTGTTCTTCTCTTTCATTATCTTTGTGTAGTCTGCTGCAGAGGTGCAGAAAGGTGACTGAGTTTTGAGTATTTCCACATACTTGAGAAAGTCTGATGGTTGCACAGGGAAGATCTTTGGCAGTTTGAAAGTGAAATGTGTTAGTTGTCAAAGTGTCTGCTCTGCTCAGTGGAGGCTGACAGGTCAGGGAGGGCACAGTCCATGCAGGGAGTTCCCGAGAAGCTGGAAACATTTGCCAGGGAGGAGAGGAGAGAGGAAGGGTCTGCAGGAAGCCAGGCTTTAACCTGATGCGCAGACAAGAGATAGATAGCATAGGAAACTGGGGCCTACCAAGTCTTGAGAGAAATACTGCACTTATTCCAGGCGATATATTATTTTCTTTCCCCATTTCTGTATTTCCAGAGTTAGATCTGTCAGTAGATTATTATTTTGAATAAGCTGGTCATTTTCAAGCTTGGCAGTGTACCAATTCACTCTAATTCCCTGAGATTGGACAAGTGGAGTCTTTCGTAACCAGAAAATGGAGTCTAATAGGGTGCCAAATTGGAAGGGTGTCATTAAAGACACTGAAAGCATGGTCAGAGGCAAAGTCCTAGCACAAGGCTGGGCAGGACTGGAGGATCTCTTTGAGTCACTGACTATCCCTTACTTCTAATTAAAACAGACCAGTGCTTTCTCTAGCCCAGAGGGCAAGTGGCATGGCAGAGCTCGCATCCATATGGTTAAACACTCTTATCCTGCCAAATAGGATGATCTTTCCCATACTGCCTGCAGGAAACAAATCATGTCCAGTCATTGGCATTGGCACAGGCCAAACAGGCTAGGCAGCACGCTGACAAATAAGCAGCATGGATGAGTGAGCAGTCACACCTATGCTGTGGTTCTGGTTTATTTACCAAAGAGGCATAACCACTGAATCCAGTTCTGCTATTGTTCTCTTGTTCCTCATGGGAATACCTTTAATTTTAAATCCATTACATTGATTGTTACCATCCCTCATACTGGAATAGTATTCCAAATCTTACTCTTCTGAGGCCTGGAAGCCTAATTATAAGGTTGAATGAAAAGTCTGAGCTGTGGAAGTTGCATGTGGACAAGATTCTTTACTATTTCTATTGAAGACCATTTCTGTTGCAATAGGAGAGGACTACAGAGAGTGCTCCCTGCAAGAGAGGATGTCTGTCTCAGATATGATAAACAGGAAAGCATAACTCAAATCACTGATAGACATCACTGCTTGGTCCAGTGAGATCAAGCAGCAAAACCATCTCCTGTGAATTGATGCATTTATGGTGGAATAGCTGTTCTGAAAAAAACAGGCAGGAAGATCAGATAATACAAACGATGCAGAATAGATTTGCCGTTATACAGAGAAATAAAATGATCCAGGATTGTCCATATGTGAGAGCAAAGATAAGAAAGAGAAGGACTGTAATGTTTTCATTTCACAGGGGAAGAGAAGTACCTGTATAGACAAGCAAAGGCAAAAAAAAAAAAAGAAAAAAAAAGAAAACCCCAAGCCCTAAACCCTAAAGCAATTATCTTCAGGGCATTAAGAAGGGTTCTGAGTGATTAATCAGCTCTTATTTAACCCATTTGTCATCTACAAGTTGTTTTTTCATAGCCATTTATTTCTAGAAATCATCATTACAGATTTTCCAAAACCAAGCTGTTAATGCTATGCCAGATTAAAAAATAAAAATTCCACATCTGGATTTCTAAACACATAAAACTGGAAATGCTCAGACCAGGTTTTTGACTTTGACTTTGTGAAAATAAAGGTTTCAAAGATCCATTGAGAGTCTGGAGATGTTTGGCCCTGTTCTGATCTGAAAGTAGAGGCATCAACTAGAGAGAACCTAGGAAAGGGCTTTGCCACCCTTTTGAAAGGGGAAACATCTGGGATGATGAGCTCCCCCTGAGAGAAATGAGATTGCCTTTGTTTTTAGAACTGGTGCAGAAATGACCTTTCTCCATAATTTAATCTCTGATCTAGAGCTCTTTCTACAGGTTATTAATCCTTATAGTTAGTAATTGTTCTGCCAGATGATCTCTCATCTGCTGAACTGTCAAAAGCATGACTTCACGTTGCTCTCAAGCTGGTTGGTACAGTCAGAAATCAAATTTGATTTATAGAAATCAGGTTTCAAAAGAGCTGATACCATCTTCGAAAGGTGCAAAAATTCTGTAAAGACAATTTGACTACAATACCAGATTACAAATTATCTTCTAACACACCCTGAACAAATCGCCTCAAGCAAAGACTTATTACAATGATTTTTTATGGCTTTATTTTCTAAAAGACCATGTGCTTGACTGATGTTTCCTGGCACTGGATTCACTCAACACTGAACATATTTTTCAGAATTGTGTTAAATAATTTAGGAGCTTTAATCCCATGTTTATAATTAATATATTTGGAAGTCTATGGAGAGAGTTAAAACTGTCACACATTTTAACAAGTTTCCGTCACTCAGCGGAACTGTAACAGTGACAATATATACATTCTTTCTGCTTGTACCCTCAGTTTCATTGAAATTTAGTGTGACATTTTTCTAATTTGTATACATTTGTGCCTGGCAAATGGGCTCAAACGTGCTCTTGCATTTGCTCACTCTCTCCCTTTGGGTTTTATTGACTTTTTATCTAAAAGCTGATTATGATTGAAATAATGAGAATGAATTTATTAAAATATTTTGAAGAATCTTCCCTCCTCCCCTTAAAGTGTGAAGCCAGTTAAATACAGTCAGTAGCTGCAAAGAGTTTTGAGAGGCTAGTCTGGCAGCTGCATTTCGGTGTGGCACAGCAGTAGAATATAGTAGGAATAAGGTGCTGCAAGAACTATGCAGTTGGTGCTTTTCTGCTAGGCTATCACTTTCTGCATGTCAGCCTATCAGAGAAGCCAATTGTGGGCTGCGTTATTATGTTGCACCTGAGAATCTGTCCCTTTTATCTGCAGAATTACCATACCAGGTTGTCTTAATGAAGTGTCCCTTGTCTCAATATAAAACTGTAACCCTTGATTTCTAACAGCTACTCCCTCCGAGGCCTTGGATAGGCACAGCTGTGGCTTGAGTTTTCCTGAGTCTGTTCAAGCTTCAAAAGTTTGAAGCCAGGGATAAAGCTTGCAGCACAGCTGTATCTCATGGCACAGCCTCATGGTTCTCTCATGGTTGGCCATGTGTTGCCTGCTTCGGTTATGATGCTCTCTTAGAACATAAGGTTTAAATTCTAAACCCTTTAGAGTGTGTTGTGTACTTAAGCGTATGAAAACAGCTGAAACCAAAGATTTATCCACACCAGCTCCCTGTCCATCTTCTCCAACATTTGGAGAAAGGCAGGCAGTAGTGGATGCCTGGGGAAGTGTATCAGTACAGAGCAGATATATAGTGATACTTCTGTCCCTGGCTCCTGTGATTTCCACTTGGGTGCTACTGCGAGTACATGCAGAAATAACAAATGCAGTGACAAAAGTATTGTGGTACTTACGTAAGTAGGAAATATAAGTGCTGTGTGGGTTTTCAGTAATTTGTCTGGAATGCAGATTTCACAAAGATCTGGATGTGTTTATGTTCTGACTTCTCTGTGACCATCTGTTTTTCTTCCCAAGTGTGTGTGACACCTTTATGTGTTCATATAGTCCTTCTGTCTTCTCCCAGTACACTGCTTTATTCTTCCTTGTTGATGTCTTGTAAAATAGCCATTAGATTGTTTTGGGGACCAGGTGATCCCCAGGGCTGCCATGTACACGCCATGCAAATGTGTGAACGTGTGTCTTCACACGGCCACCAGCTAAATCCCACTCCACTCCAGTGCAGCTAATGTCAGCTTCCTCCATATGATGCTCTAGATTTTTTAATAACATGGCTGACATTAGGGGATGCCCCAATGCTGAATGCATTAGTGTATCCTTTGGAGAGGAACATTTTCTTACTATGCTAAAAGGTTTATTTTCATTTTTTTCCCTTTATGAAATGATTTAAATAAAAAAGTGTCTCTTGTCTGCAGATAATCTCACGGGGATAGAAGTCAGTTCAGTTATATAAAGACCTCAAGAAAGCTTCAAAAAGGAAAAATATGGAGACTGGTTTTGGTGATTCAGGTGACCATGGGAGGGAAAGTGTAGAGCTAAATCTGAAACTCTGTACAGAACTTAGACGCCTAAGAGGCCTTCCATAAGTTAGTTCTGTGCCAGCCAAGCAGAACTTACTCTACAGCTCTTAGACTGTGTAGATCATGTGAATTTAATTCTTTCGAGTTTCAGTAAATCCCCTTTCTGATCTTGGACAGTGGTAGTAAGAATAAATACCCTGTTTTGTAGAGATTTTGTAAAAGGTTTCAGCACTGGTATAAAACATGGAAACACTGAGGAAAACAAAAAGAGCAAAGATCATTCATTCAGAATTTCTAGTGTAATCAATACTACAAAGTACTGCCATATTTTGCCAAAAAGATTTTGACCTATATTTGCTTCTGTTGGTACATTCATGTTTGGCTGATGATTCAAGAGTAACTGCTAAACCCTTTAGGATATGCTAATTCCAACTATGTGCGCATTTCTAATTTTTACAGTCAAAATCTTTTCCCAATTTGTATGAAATACTCTTCATTTTCAGGTTTTATGTGGTTTCCTGTTAATATGCATATTCTTACTCAAGAATAGAATTTCTCTATGAAAATACCATAAATACATATTTAGGTATATAATTACAACTCTAAGGAGATCTCTTAGGCTGTGGAATGATTTTCCAAGTAGAACTATGCAAGTTATCATTTTTCCAATTTCCTAGCTGAACCAGAAACCTGAAAATAAAATTGAGTCAACCTGAGTCCCGGGGGGAACAAGCCCACGGTTTTGTTGTGGAAAAAAAATCCTAAATCAATAGGATTGTTTCCTGGGTTTTGTTCTGTATTTTTAACATTTTTTTCAATTAAATTTGGTAAATTCCTTTGGAAGCATTACTGGGGAGACGAGCAAACCTGCTTTTCCTCACTGACTGTAGGGAGCAGGGGAAGGGTGAGGCAAGAGCATGCTCTTAACTTTAGCATCTTTCTGCCTAATCTTAGATGGGATGAACCTGGGCTTTTCCCAGGCATTCAGAGGAATATTCCTAACAATTTTAAAAGCTTATAAGAGGAATAACCTGATGTAACGTTGAAGGGGAGGCGTGCTGACAAGGCTTTTTGAGATATTCCATCTTCTTAAAAAGAATGCTTAAAGACCAGCGTTTTCAGCCGACGTGACCGACTGGATTCAGCAAGAATTCTGATCAAATTTAAACTCCAGTGTTGCCCAAATAAGCCGTCTGCCTGCCGTGACGGCCGGTGGCTGGGGTGAGCGAGGCCTGGGTGCTGCCCGGGCAGCCAAGGCGCC